GTTGGAGGCCGTCGCTAGTAGGTGGTAGGTAGTATGCACAAGCAAAACAAAAGTGACAGCGAACAGCAAGGTTGGAGGTCGTCGCTAGTGGGTTGGAGGCCATAGTACCAGGTTGGAGGCCAGCGCTACAAGTTTACAAGGCACAAGTACAAAACAACACCGAGTTGAAACATGCTTTCAAGTACCGTTAAAGATAGAAAACCAACATGCAGGTACACATCAAGGCGTCCCTTGATGCTTCCCCTGTCACATCCCAGCTTCGTTGGGCCAGGTAGGATGTGACAGGCCTGGCCCGCCTGCACAACACCGAAAGGTTCCCTGTGAGTCCAAGGGTTACACACACATGCGCGCAAAGGAGACAGATGAAAATGAGAACGACGAGACAGACGAAAAGTGTGTGTGGTTGCCGATGAAGAAGAACCAAGTGAAGAGGGACAACCGATGAGCCAAACCTCATAGTAACAAACCTGGGCCACCTGAACCTAGTTGTAAGTAGAATACGCGTGCGTGTATGTGTACAAGCTAAGGTCCGGACGAAAGCGCGCGCAAGAGAAAGGAAAGGATGGGGATGAAGAGACATGAAGACAGAAAGACATGAAAGAAAAGGAGGGAAGACGTCTGTGGGGGCCAATGAAAGGGGAACCAAATGAAAGGGGGCAAACCAATGACAGACCAAACCTCGTTGAGAAACCTGTTGCAAAAGCCTGGTTTGCTTGTAAGTATGCCACGCGCGAGAGAAGAGGAGGAAAAGAGGAGGAAGAGAAGAAAAGGAGAGAAAGGAAGAAACGAAGGCGCTCCCAGCTACGACACAAGCGTCCAAGGACACACCAAAAAGGGGGAAGGGCTCCCAGCAGTGACGAAAGCATCCAGGGACACCGGGACACCCAAGGCAGAAGGAAGGGGAAGAAAAGAAAGAGAGAGAGAGAGAGAGAGACAGAGAGAGAAAGAGAGAAGGAGAGAGAGGGTAAAAAGGGGACAGCTACGAACAAGCGCCCAGGGACACACCAGTGAGAGAGAGAGGGGTGTACTTGAGTATTACATTCAGGAACACCCCAAAATGGCAAAGAAGGAAGAGGGGAGGGGAGGGGGAGGAGGAAGGGGTTAAGGTCGCGACAGACTCCAACGTACGCCGTGCCAAAATGGCTGGCTTTGACCGCTGTGGTCACCTAATGGCTTGTCTGAAGACTGCCTACTTGGAATTCAATATTCCGTCAGGTCTTGGCAAGTAACTTTGGCTTCGTTTGCGCTGTTTTACCGAACGTGACATCCGACACTGCTCACAGGCTGGGTGGTAGGAAGCGTGACCCTGCAATCTATGCTTTAGAAGTTCTCTCAACTCTTTATCTTTAAGCCGATTAGGCACTAAGTCGGTTTCAGTCGGGTCCAGGTTAGGGTCACCTACGGGCAACTCACTATCTTTAGACTCTTTTGACTCGGGCTCAAAAGGCTCAAGTTCTTTTGAAGGAACGTTCACGGGAGGTTGCTTGCTATCGAATCTCCTCCTTTCAGGCATTGGTGACAGAGTTTTACTTACCTCGCTCACCTTTTCAGAATACTTCGGGTAAACATTTTCTTACCCTTCTTTGGCGACTGCGGTGACTGCTCACCGGCCGAGGTCCCAGCGAATCCATCGAGTTCCATTGGCCTGAGGAAGGCTCGGGCTCATATCTCTCTGGGGCAGGATGCTTGCTGTAGCTGGGGCAGGATGCTTGCTGTAGTTCTTACCAGAACTCTTTCCAAGACTCTTCGACCTACGAACGACTGTTGAGTCGGGGTCAGGCTCTACATACTCATCAGCTTTCAACCACGGGCAGTTTGCCCAGATAGTAGGGTACACCCTAATGCTACCTATCGCGCATTCACATGTCTCTGGACCTGCTTACAGACTCCATACGCGGACAACAAATTGTGCTCTACGCGCGAACTAGACATCTCACAAGCAGAGGTCTTTGGAGGCCATGCTCACCACTAATAGACATCTTAAGGACTACTTCCCTTCGGATCTCCACTCTCTCTCCGGATGCAGTACTAAAGGTCAACGGAGGCTCAACCCTACGTTCCTTTGACACTTCGTAGGCTGACAAAAACTTTTCGGCAACAACGGATCTAGATGCACCGGAATCTAAAAGCCACCAAGACTGCAACGTCAAGTCTTCTAGATTGCTCTTGCAAAACATCCCGCCTACCAAAAACTCTGCCAGTCCTACATCCGACTTCACTCTGGGGCGTCAATTCGGACTCAACTGCTTCGGCTTCGAACGGGACTGAGGTCCCGATGCTGGGCTCAAAGCTCTCCAGTGCATCGTGGCCGGTGCACGGCGGGGACGGTTGGCATACAACACAGCTCAAGCTCTTAGTCTTACTAGACTCCAAGCTCTCAGCTTCCATTACCTCTTCAAGGCTCTTACTTACATCTTGAGGCTCCTTGAACCCTTTTCTCAACGTGCTCAACAAAGACTCGGTCGGATCTGGGGTTCCGATCCGGGGCTCAAAGCTCTCCAACGGGTCATGGCCGGTGCGCAGGCACGGCACGGCGGGGACGGTTGGCTCACCCAACTCAAACTAGAGTTACAACCTTCTGACCTCAAGCCTTCTTCCACAAACAAACCATCAGTCTCCCTACAAGGCTCTTCATCAAAGCTCGGCTCAAAACCCTGGCTGTTAGTCTTACGAGACTCAACACTGCTCCTACACCTATTCGTACAAGACTCTTCAAGTACAGGTGGCTCGAACACAACATCTTTCCAATCTAAATGGTAGTCATCTAGATTGCTACCAGGTGAGTTTGACAACTCTTCATCAAACATCTTCCAAAACTGGCAGGCACTTGACTGCTCTCCAGGCTCCGGACGACAAACGTTGGATTTCCAACGATTCCGAATCCAAATTCGTACGAGCGGACGGAAATCCAGATGGCTCACCGGGCTTCGAGTGATCGTGCACAAATCTAGAGGACTCCTGCTCAAAAGACTTCGAACGACAACCTTCGAATCTAGTAGCTTCCTCAACTGTCTCATGCAACTTCGAATGATCTGCAAGCTCGGTTTCAGCACTCTCCATCCCTAGTACAGGCTTGGCTGCGCAGCTTACTTCTAGTACAGGCTTAGCTGCACAACATGGTTGACTCACTGCATCGAACGAAAGCTTTACCTTCAGCTCTCTTACCCCACACTCTTGGTGCGCACGGCTTCAACACATTCTGTTCCGTCTCAACGTTCAAACACGGAGTCAAAACGTGAACGAGTCTCAACTTGGTGGGCTTTATACGAAGATCTACATTGGGCTCATCTGACTCTAGGCTTACGAATCCCCTACTCAAGCCAGGCTCAACTCCAGTGCAAACTCTCTGGGCTCCCGGATAGGTCCGGCCAGGTCGAAGCGAAGGACGAATCGACGACGAACAAAAGGCTGCGGCATCACTCCTCAAGCATGAACCCTTCTCAAAACGGCACGAAAACTTCTCTGGGCTAGTTACTGTTGGTTTGGACTCGGCTTTCAAAGTGGTTGTTTTCCTCTCAAGAAAATGCACCGCTTTAAGCAGCACGTGGCTGGTGAGAGCTCAGAAAAATGGGTTCCGTTGCTTCGGACGCTTCACTCCAAGCATCCTCCTCAAACCCTTCGTACTCTAGTGCTTCCTGTTCCAATTCTAACTCTGCTTCACTCTCTTCTGGGGTGGCCAAGTCGTAGTACTCAGCTGTTCTCAAGCCCTTCTTTCCTTTTCCTTTACCTTTTGACTGGTTCTTACCTGAACCTGAAGGCTTGCCGCCTTTAACTTTTCCCTGTTCTTTCTTTTCTTTTCCTTTTCCTCCCTTTTCAACTTTCCCCTTTTCTTTACCCTTCTGCTGGCTCGGGCCCTTGGGTTGCCGACAGTCTTTGGCCATGTGGCCTTTCCTTCCGCAGTTCCAGCACTCACGGTCTTTCGGATCGATCGATGCGGCTCCCAACACAGGTTCAACTGGCTCGAACGTCTCACCCAACGACGACAGCGAAAGACCCTTGTTCGTGCTAAAATCCTGCTCTGACAAAACTGTTTTGGCATAAAAATTGGACACAGCTGTCTTTGCATCTTCGTATGTCTCTCCTGCATGCAACTGCACGTACCGACGGCACTCATTACTTATGTTCTGCAACAACCAACGGTATCGTTCCGGCTCGGCGGGTAGGATATCACGAACGATCGACGTGTCAACGGCAGTTTCGAAAATTTTCAAAGAAATCAATTCAGCATCAAGCACGTTCAAAACATCTTTCAAACTTGTCCCAGACTTTACCCTAAAGTTAACTCAGCAAACAAGAACGAAAATGCAATGCCTCTGAACGAGTTTGCAAGCTGTATTCTTCTTTCAACTTTTGCAACAATCGATACCCATTCGTGCCCGTGCTTACCCCCAAACTACTCTCATGCAGCTTATAATGATACTTTGCACTCTCGGACTCTTCTCTAGACCCTGCTTTAGGATGTAGTACAGCCTACTACTCCTCTCCGTCTGACCCGGGGACAGGTCACTGTCTTGGATTGGTCGGGTACGAGCTACAACATCACGAACCTCTGTGGAAAAATCCGGTTGCATCATTCCAATCCAAGCCGTCAACTGATCTAGATAGCTGTGGAATCCTAAGATCTCAGCTGGACAGGTTGTCCACTTGCTAGTATCTGGTACAGGCATGGTAGGTAGGATCTTAGAGTCGATACTCTTGAAAAAAAACTCTTCTCGTCCCTTCCGGCGGGTTCACCGCCGACAGCTGGGGCCCCTCCACGGCTCACACCCCTTGTCGGGGCACTTGAACCAAGTCCTGCACCAGAAACTCCGTCACCATGTGCTCTCACGGACTGTGACGTCAACATGGCCATGAACTGCTGTTGTTGATCTTGCATGATCTGCTGTTGCTGTTGCTGCATCTGTTGTTGTTGTTGTTGCAACTGCATCTGTTGCATCATGGACATGCACATGCCGATCAAAAGATCGGTCGCAGACCCCTGACTGGGCCAAACTCACATTACCCTGTCAAAGACAGGTGGTGCACCACAGAAGTTCGGTGGACGCTGACTTGGAAACATGCTACCTCCAGAGACAGACATTCCTGGAACACTCTGACAGGGGACACCCTGGCAAGGGACACCCTGACACGGCAACGGTGGGGGTGGGATCTGGATCCCCTGTGGAACTTGGACAGGGACCACGTTCGCACCAAAAGGCACGACTGGGACAAGACCAGGCATCATCCCAACCTGTCCTGCCACCTGACCTCCTGACACTACGGTCGGCTGACCTCCACTGACACCTCCTGAGACACTCGGACCTTCCTGTCCTGGACAACCACCAGTCACACTGGCGACAACACCTACTGTCCCTGCTGGACCATACGACACGGGAACACCCTGTGGACTGGGCATGCTCAGGCACCTCACCTACTGTGCTCTCACCTTGCACTTGTTCACCTGACTGTGACGACAAGTCAAAGTACGCAACGCCCTCTGTCAGGGCAGACATACCTGCCTGGCTGCTTGCACCTTCCTGATGCTCCTGCACCTCTGGGATAGGGGATCCCATGTTCCTGCGAACAGATGCTTCTATGGCATCGTGAAGCCACCCTCCGGTGGACATGCTCGGACACCTCCTAACGAGGCTCCGCTACTATACGCAGATCCGGGGAGGATCTGGATGGTGCGAGAGCTTAAGAACAAAGACTACGCGTTCCCTTCAGGAACTTTCAAGCGCAAAATTTTATCAAAGGAAGTTTAGTGTGCAAAACTTCCGTGTTACGGACATTCAACAGCTGTTCAACCACCACTCATCATACACCACTCATCATACACCACTCATCATACACCACTCATCAAACACCACTCATCATACACCACTCATCATACACCACTCATCATACACTACTCATCATACACCACTCATCATACACGACTGATCACACACCACTCATCATACACCAGTCATCATACACCGTCAATTGTTGTTCAGGGTCAGCCCGCCTCAATTGCTTGTTCACTTTGATTTGCTTAAGTAAGAGTCTGATGTTCTTGCGGGGGGGCAACCGGCAACCCAGGGTATTCAGGCCGTTCCTCACGGTTACAGGTTTGGAGGATTTGCGTCTGGGGCCTCCAGACCTTGGGTTCCCGTTCTACCAGGTGGTTGTGAAGGGGGGCTCGGTTCATCGAGGCTGCTTCACAATACTGGATCTCGCTTCCGCCTTCGAGAATCACAATGAAGGAAAAGCCGCTCGTAGATCCGATCCCGGCGCGTTGGTAGAATGTGCCTGCAAGCTCGCGTGGGCTATCTTGAAAAAAAGGGGACATGGTTGTCTTGCCAGCTGGCTGGCTTTACGCATCCGGTTTCTTGGTTTGACTGTGCACTGGACGGGACTCTATTACAGGTGAGGGGCGGAGGGGACAGTGCTATTCCTGCCAAACGTTTATTGTTACTATAGTTACTCTACTTTTTGCTAATCCTCCATGCAGGTAACGTGGCAAGTGTGTCCCGTGCAAATGGCGATGCCGCTGATGTCCTCACTGCGGACATCCAAGGAGCATGTCGCTCTTACAATCAGGCCTGAAAAAGAAAGGTTCTAATAGAAGTATAGTAGAGATTCCACGGTCACAGTTTACCTAAGTCATGTCAGATTCCGCATACAATAAAACCTGATTGGCCTTAAGGCGTGCCAGGCATCTCGATTCTGAAGAGTCTGAGCATGCATAATATAGAAGAAAGTCTACCCTTGCTGAACATTGATCAGTTTTTCAGGTGAAGATGATGGGCAACAATGACCTGGTGACCACCTGCAAGACATTGCGCAAAACTAAGCAAACACAACACTTGTGGAAAAGTTGGGCGACAGGATTCAATGAGCGAGACCGACTGGTGGCTTTCCAAGATCAGCACCAGCCTGAAACGTCAGGGCAGGGGATGTCGGGGAATCTTCTTGCCATTGCAGATGATGGGAAACATAAGCAAACACAGGAGCAGCAGCAGCAGCAGCGACAGTTAAGTCCGAGGACGCAGAACAGGCGATAATCAATATTCTGAGCACTTAGAACTTACCAGAACAAGAGCGGTACACTTGAGCCTCCAGTCCTGCTTCTCCAAGATATGGCCTTCGAGCCTAGCCTCCAACAGCTACTGCAAAATCAAGTCCGCAAGTGCTTTGCTTGAAAGAAACCTGATATCACCCAGCGACCCCTCAAGAGCGATACATTTTTGGATTCTTGGTGATTTCTTCATGTCCGAACAATGAGATGCCAAAAGATACTGCGCGCTCTGCTTAGTAAAGTTGGTTGATGATTCACGTGGCCGACGCACGTTGCTTTTGTTCTTGCAGAGAATATAGTGACCTGTAGAACAAGAGCGGTACACTCGAGCCTCGAGTCCTGCTTCTCCAACATCGAAGCCTGTTGGTTGGTCAAGTCCATCAGCTGCCTGCGCATGCCCCGAAGGGGAAAGGTTTTGCTTTTGGTTCTTCCAGTTTGATGCTGGGGATCCGGGGCCTGAAAATATGTTTAAAACAGATATAAACGATATTCTTACTGCATTATACGTTTTTGTGTTTTTCACTGCTCGTCTAGTAGTGTACATGATGTTTTGATCCCGGCCTGCTGGGCCTGAGCCTGAGCTGCGGACTGAGGGACCAACCTCATCACACATGAACCAAGCCACTCAGTATCACGCATGCGTCGTCGCACATGCGTCAAGCGCTAGGCGCTGCACTGCGCCTGTGTGCACGGCGCCTGGACGATCTTCCCAGTCCCAGGAAGCAAATAAGCAAGACAAACCCAATGTTGGTCGATTTTCGGTTGGTCTTGCTCAATGTTTGGAATTCTCACCTTCATCGAGGATGCATTGTGGAGGTCGGAGGAGGCGAGAGACTGGACAGCAGACCGTGTCTTGTGTGAATGTTTTGAAAGTCCACTCAATACTCAAGTGTCTTGGAAATTCGTCAAGACGGTTTCACTGCGGTCATGCCTACGCACGAGGCGCAGGGGTGTTTGGCAACTGCTCTGTCAATGTATGAAGCAGGAAACTTCAGCAAATTAAAGTTGACCCTCCAGATGGGCACCCTTTGAGGTCACTCTGGCTAGTCATTTTTTGCATATTGAAATTGTTGCGATCATAGTGAATCGCTTTTTCATTTCTATCCAAGCTAGAGTTCCGTCGCTACGGCACACTTCCTTTTTACTATCGACTTGCTGAGGTGTCGTTCGTCAACCTGCAAGCCTCTGCAGGATTTGCGTTGGGTAACCTGCACTGGCAAATCTGTGGCCCCCCTGCACAACTCCCCTGTGAGTCCATGGCTTACACACACACACACCGCTGCACTTGGAAACTCCAGTCCAGAAGGAGCTAGTCCGCCGCATCGTACCTGCAAAGAAGTGTAGTAGCAGAAGTAATAGTAGTAGTAATAGTAGTAGTAGTAGTAGTAGTAGCAGTGCACACACACACACACCGCTGCACCTGGAAACTCCAGTCCAGAAGGAACTTGTCCAGGTAGTCCGCCGCATCGTACCTGCATAAACATACAAACACACCGCTGCACCTCGAAACTCCAGTCCAGAAGGAGCCAGTCCAGAAGGATTTCCATGTAGTCGGCCGCATCGTGCATGCAAAGTAGTAGTAGTAGTAGTAGTAGTAGTAGTAGTAGTAGTAGTAGTAGTAGTAGTAGTAGTAGTAGTAGTAGTAGTAGTA